TGGCTGAAGCCCTGCTTGAGACAGAGCTCTGCATCTTGTGGCCAGTGAACACCACCATCCTGCTTTCTCTTTATGGGCCCTAAACCCGTCAGTCTCTTTGGGACCCTTCCACCAGCCCTGGCTTTCCTCCCTGGCTGTGTTCCAGCAGTGCCTTGTCAGGTGCAGCAGGAGTAACTGAAAAGCTTGAGGCTTGTGCTGTGACAGGGAGATGTCTCCCCTGCTGCAGTCCTCGGAGAGTCTCTGACTTTCATCTGAGATGTTTCCTGTTGTTTGTTCCCTGTCTTCCAAGTGCAAGTAGCACCCACATGAGCTATGTGAGCATAGGGCCGGTTTTACTTTCCCAGGCTGCAGCCTCTGTAGCCTCGGCTTCTGTGTGTACCTCAGGTTGCCCTGGAAAGTCCTTATGCATGTTGGGGCAACCAGTTCATTTGTTGGACAAGGCCCAGAAATAAGGGTATGCATTATATCTTAATATAGACAGGCCCATCTTCTTTTTTCAATATATATATGAAGTATGAATATATATGAAATATGAATATATATTCAATGAGAATTTTGACTCTTTATGTGACATGACTGATTTAAAAAGTACCTTCTCTGTGAACCAAAGCTGGGCAGACTCCCACCCTTATGCCTTTCCACTCTACAGAGTGCATAGAATTAACTGATGCTAAAGAAAGAGCTTTGTGTACTATTTCTCAAATAATACAACTCACATTATTTTTCCATTTTGTACCTGTCTCCCCTCCCTCCCTCTTTCCTTCCTTCCTTCCTTCCTTCCTTCCTTCCTTCCTTCCTTCCTTCCTTCCTTCCTGTAAACTTATATTTTCAAAATTGCATACCACATTCCTTCTTTCTTTGCATATGGATGAAGAGTGAGAAAGAGAATTTTCCCTTTCAGATGGGGGGAGGATCATGTGGTTTCTCTAATCATTTTCTTAAAAGTGATTTCACCATTACGTTTTCTTCTCTTCTCTCCATAGAAGTCGAAACATATTTTACAAAACTATGTTTAGTTTAATTTACACATCCTTTCATGAACAGACCAAGTTCTTTAAGGGCATTTATTCTGCTTCATATAAATAATTGATCAGCCAAGTTAATTTACTTCTGCTTGACTTGGTCAACCTTAATTAACTGCCCTGGAATCAAGACTGAACTTTTTGTTAGCTTAAAATCTCATAAGCATGATAACAAGGGCTTTATTTTCCCTAAATTTTCAGCATCAACACTGTAACCAAGGAAATAATCATAATAATAAAGCACTGCTTTAATTTACTATAAATACATTGGCCTGGACATTATGAATTTTCCAGAATACTTCCAGGGAGCAGCTCTGTTGGTAACAACAATAAATAAACATGCTGCACTCCATTCTTATCCCTCTCTGCCAGTCACTGCAGCACCAAAGTGATCTTTCGTAACCAGTAGCTCTGTAATGCTTCCAAGCCAGATGAGCAGTGGGCCATTTTCCTGGGCTTTCAGAAATCTAGGTAATTGCAACGTCAGCCTTTGTTGGGATTGTGCTGAATGGATTGTGTGGTTTCATTAGGCCCCACTCACTTGGAGAAGCCATATAGGAAGGCAGAGGAGTGTTGGAGTTTGTTTCTGGTGAAGACCTGTTAGTGGGCACCCTGTGTCCTTCCTGGTCAGGCACTTGGGATGATTAGAAGTGATGTTTCTTGTCCTTACTTTGTCATGGAGCAAGGGGGTTCTTCAATAGTGGGGTATCCAGAGGCAAGTGGAGGCTATAGAGACCGAGTTTCTAGAACAGCCTTCCTTCTAGAAAAGTATACAGTGCTCCATGATAGAGTAGACACATGCTTCTTCTAGCCATTGGCTTATTCTCAGTTGACTGTAACAATGTACAGCTCAATAGAGAAAGATAGACACATTTGTTTGCTGAAGAGCGCTGACACTTCCCCTGTATTTTAATGCTTTCCTTTGCCTACCTGCTGTTCTGATTGTAGTCTGCTCTGGAATTGATTTAGTTTCCTTTTCTCTCATTTACTTATTACCTTACCAAAGGACTCTGCAGACGGGAAAATTTGTCATTTAGTGAATGGACAGGTTTATGTCTGAAATGGGGTAAAGTTGTGGCTATACTGACTTCTTAGTTGACTGAGGTTGGGAATTCTCTTCTGTAAAATGGGTAAAACATTCACCAGCTTTATCTCCCTCTTATAGACTCGCTAGGAGTTTGAGAAGTATATTGGATGATTTTGCTGTTTGTGAGATGTGATCTAGTTATAAAGGTTTATTAAATGGCTTGGGACATTCAATAGAAATACTATCCCAGACACTGTGAAAAATGTCCTTAGACGCTGACACTCCTAATTCTTAACATGTGCTTTTCAAAAAACTGTTTTCCCCTGATTGGTGTGGAAGATTATGGGAAAATTTTAAATCTCCCAACCTACATACTACTGTGAGCGCTTGACTAATTAAGGACATCCTTAGACCAAAATAATCCTTTATGCAGTTTTGGTCCCAAAGCCTGCACTCTCACAAACCTGATTCACAAGCCAAGCTGCTTGGCCCCGTGCCTGAAAACTTGTACTGGAGGACTTGGCAGTCTTCTTTGGAACTGCATGGAGCGAAAACAGAGCCTTCTCATCAAATTGTGTATTGGAGATTGTTCTTACTCCACTGGCAGGGCCGGTGTCAAACCAAGGAAACAAAAGCAGGGCTACTCTCTTAGACACCTGCTCTGAGGTCTGAGATCCCGATGGTCACGTGGTTGGAAGGCAGCAGTCTACCCACAGCCGTGTTTGCCAGGAGTGAATATATGGCTGTGTGTGCTCCATATCAGTGTAGTGCAGAATTTAAAGGTAGTATCTTTGCTCTTTGAGGGTCCAGTCACTGATACCTTCAGGTTTCTAGAGGTACCCTAAAAACCTGTTTTTATGTAGGCATGCTTGTGACGTATCCTAATAACTAAATGAGTTTCCTTGCTAATCAAGACCACTGTTCTCCTCTGTAAATACCGAAATGTGGAGTCTTTCTCTTAGCTCCTCTATAAACAGGCAATTGTGTGGAAGCCTGCGTTTCATACATTGGCTCCTTTGTTGAAGATGAGCATGGTACTCTTGTCGCCTGATTTATATCAGAGGGCAGGTTTGTGTTGGTTTTCTTGATAGATCCTTTACTGTGTGAACAGTAAAGATATGAATGCAATTTTTAAAGGCCAATAATTACTGGAAAGTCAGATCCAGAGAGACGAGAGTGTATCAGCTGTCGCTTCTGGGTTTGTTTCCCACCTGTTAACGAAAAATGCCATTCTTAATCCACTTCGGGATTGGATTAACTTGAAGAAAAATGTCTATGATTTTGCAAAATGTCATCAAGTCGTATCATACCATGCACTGAAAGGAAATAAAGATACTAAATGTTTTTGTTTTTAATTCTTCCCTTTGGGTTTTGTGCATGGCTGCAGAAAGTAGACTTACGCTCACATTTAAGAAAGGGACAGCCTCGTCCTCTGAAGACATCCAGAGAGATTACCTTTCCCTCTTGTCACACAGTTCTTGGAGGGGGGAAGGATGGGTAGCACGGGTTAAACATATGTCCATCTATGATTGGAACAGACTTGTATGCAAAGTTTTCTGTCCTTTTATCTGAGGTTGGCATTTCATATTGAAGTCTTCATTATTTGGGCTTCCTCAGCTTTGATATTTGTGCTGGCAGCTTCCTTTGGTGACTTTTGTTTTTCTCTTTCAAGACCTAGCCTGTAACTTCAGAGGATATCCTCCATGCCAGTATTTTGCTCCCATTGTACCTCAATCTTGTGAAAACATGCTTTTGTTCAAAGCTCAGTGTCAGAGCTGAGTGGTTCAAATCAAGACCCTGCCATTACTAGCTGTGATATACACTGGGAAAATTATAGTAATTCTCATAAAATCTCAGTTTTCTCATCTGCAAACTGGGGATATCAATTGTTATCAAAATGAAGTTAGAGAATATATGTAAATCATCTGCAGTATGAAAGGACCTTTGTAACAGTGGTGATCATACATCTATCAGGTGGTACTAGCAAATATTAGCTGTCTTTTGTCATACAGTACTTGTACACCTTTATTGATCTAATAGCTAAACCAGCTGTAAGGGATAATGGTCTATGCCTAGAGACTAACAAAAACAAAGAAACAGTTGATTTCTAACGAATTCTTTTTTCACTATATATTTTTTCTAGTAGGCATTCGGTACTTTAAAATCCAGCCTTTTCTTAGGTCTGCCTAGATAAGACTTTTCTCCAAAATTAGTTCCACCCAGAACTTTCAGACCTTAAACAAAACTAGAGGTCAGTAATTTACCCTGAGAAATACCTGACTTTGAGATTTCTCAGGTCAGTTTTAACTATAAACCAAGAATGATAGTGTGAATGTATTTGGCTGTGGAAAAGTGGGACCCTTCCTTTCTACAAGTGGCTTATCTTACTGGAATAGCCAGTGTTTCAGTTCCTGTGTATTCCAAGGGGTAAATATCCCTAAAATGCTTTTGATTTGTGATTGTGAGGTTTTGGGCATAAATTACCTCAAGGGTGTCCTGGGTAATGTTGTGCCATACCTTGATAGACTGAAGCTGGAGAGTGTTCTTTCTGTAAGACTGTACCATCCCCACATAGCAAATTAACATTTAATGTTACTCCTAATATCCGCCATAGCACAACCTAATGTTTTTGAGCGAAGCTTCCATATACCATGAGAAAAATTTAATCCTAAATTCTAGGCTCACTTGAACATATTTATTTTTCCTAGGGGGAAAAAAGATAATATATTTGAAACAGCACTGCAAGTTGAATTGGGCCTGACAGTTCAATACTCCTGCACTAAAGGACCAGTTCACTAATGAGGGATAAACTGAGTGAAAGAAAATGACAACTGTTTACAGAGTTTGGCAACATTTAAAGCCGAACTCTTTTCCCTTATGTAGAACAACTGTTTTAACAGCTGCTTTTTTCTTCTTCTTCCTTCTCCCCCTCCTGAAAATCCTTACATCAGGTTTTTGAGTCATGATGCAGGAATCTGGGACCGAGACAAAAAGTAACGGGTCAGCCATCCAGAATGGGTCCAGCAGCAGCAACCACTTGCTAGAGTGCAACGCGCTCCGGGAGGGGCGGTCCAACGGGGAGGCGCCAGCAGTGGACTTGGGCGCTGCTGACCTCGCCCACGCCCAGCAGCAGCAGGTATGAGCTTGGACATCAGGGGTGACGGGCGCAATGTTACCACTGGGGTTTGCTCTTAACCACTGCCCCTGTCTGCCTAAAGCGGCATCTGTTAGCACCAGTTCACTGTGATGCCTGCTGGCGGGCCTCAGAGATGGATTCTGAGTTGGGAGTCGGGGCGGGGGTCCCCCTTCTGCTGAGTGGTGGTTGAGACTCAAGGGTTGAGTGGACGGGGGTCAATCTAGGCTAGCCCCCAGCATGTCACCCTAACTTTGAAGTGTTGTGAGTAAAATTACTCTTTGGAGAAATGGTTCCCAATGCATGACTGTTTAACAAAGACAAAATAATTTTAAAAACTGGGCTTAAGAAGCCCTATGAAAAAGAATTAAGATTTGAAGGATAAAAGTGAGAAATAAAGGAGGTTAGAGAGAAAATAAGTAAATGCATAAGGTGAACAGAAACATACAAGCAGCGTGGGTGGAATGGGGGCCTGTGGGGCTATTTATGACACAGGCAACAATGCAGGAAGTTGCTTCCTGGTACCTCTCCATATTTAGGGAAGTGGGGTGTTATATGTGTTTCTTGGCTCCTTGTGGGAGATGGCATATGCCTAAATCTTACTGATGTATTCACTTCTACCGCCGCTTTCCTCAAAGTGCGCGTCCGTTGGGACGTATTCGTCCCTGTTATGCTCTTTGCAGGTATGTAAACAGATACATGGAAGTGACTGGTGAAACATTTTCCAGTGGTAAAGGTGACCTGAGACAGTGTTACTTTGGCGAAGTGCGGGTGAAAATTCAGACACAAATAGCCTTTCATTGATGACTGCCTTTGGCTTCCCATCTTCTGCTGGGATCAGAAAATATTACTAGTTCTTGTTAATGATAATGGATGGTAATTTCCCTTTTTTGTCCTTAATTTATTTATTTCGTTCTTAGTTGTGGTGTCATTTGGAATCAGGTGTTGGGAGAAAATGAGGGGTCTCTGGGCCTTTGTGAAAGACACAAGAATTATTGTAGGATGGTGTAAAAGAAAGGCAGTTTTTCTCAAACCATTTTCTTGGACTGCGAACCAGAAAAGGTAAGGAAATCTCTTCTTGTATCAGAGAGAGAGAGAGAGAGAGAGAGAGAGCTTTTGACACCTAAAACATTTTTTATGATACTTTTGTTAAGAGAGGTTTTTTTTTAAGTCATTAGATTGTGAGCCGATTACAAGTTAGAACCAACATGAGACTATGGAACATTTTGGGGGAGAAGAAAAAAACAGCAAAGAGGAAAAAAAGGGGAAACTGACTGACAAGCCAAGTCTGATTCAGAGGGCTTCCTGTGAGCGATTTGATCTCTTCCAATGGCAGCCCCAAGTATTTGTGGCTGTGCCTCAGGCACTAGATCAGCTGGAGTTTCCATGTTTGTTGTCTATTAATTTCATGCATTTAAGTTAACGCGAGTGGCTGCATTCTAGCCAGTAAGGTTGTTAGCAAAACCCAGCGGTAAATGGTAAAAGTATATTTGTGCTAACATACATTTATGTGATGTTCTCAGCTGTTTATGGTTATATGGAGAATAAATAGCTGGTATTTTTAGAGTACCACTCTCTATGCGCTTACTAGACAGAGGTCAAGATCAACTATTTCTTTATGGAGCAGTTGATGTGGGGCTCCTGACTGGTATGGTATGAACCATAACAGCAACAGCAAATTGACTACACAAAAGAAAGTTACAGAAGTGCATTTTGTAGCGTCTTCTTTAAAAATGATCTGTAGCAGAATTATTTATCCTTCTGTTCTGTTGTTACCTTAGCTGTGACCACTTTTGAAAATTTGAGTTACTGATTAAAAGTTTAAGAAATCGATTTTGATTATGCTTTGAGCTATTTTAAAATATTTTATGGCAATTTTAGTTTTGTTTGCCATTGATATGTTCTGGGAAGAAAAAAAAGCAGTTGGGTCTAGCATTGTGGCTGAAATCCCACTTACTGTGGTTGGTAAACTTTTTTGTACTACGTAAAATAAAATATTGACAGCTGTCCCCAAAGTATATGATGAGATTCTTAGGTTGTAGGGGCGAGGAGAAATCTGTGGCTGAAAATTAAGAAGAAAAAAAAAACAAAAACCAAAAAACAGTGCAGGTATGAAAATGTGCCACAGGACTAAAGTTACCAGTTTTCTTCCAAAGACACTGCAACAATTAAACAGTTTGGAGAAATGTGAATGTCACGGATGGACTTTGGTTGTTTTCGTCATTTTTATGCTACAGGTTTTTACTTGAAGTGAGAATACCAGCAGTGAGAAAATCACAGCCATGCTGAATTCATTACTGCAGTAGTCACACAAAACCACGGATAAAATTTCAATAACTGCAGGCCACAGTTGAGTAAACAGTTGCACTGAAATTTAATTCCTGTTGACTTTTCCCCCATTCCTCGCCAGGGGCACATTCTGATTCCATAGTACAAAGACAACAGGGGTTACAGCTTTGATTAATGTAGGACAGTGGAAGAGAATTAGAACTGTAAAAAATATGTTAGAAGTCTATGGAACACAAAGATCTGCTTAAAAGGGCCTGGTATAAAAAGGAGTTGATTGTGCTGTATGTTAAAGTGAATGTTATAGGATTTTCTAGTTGTATCAGTACCATTGATGATGTAGTGAGAGTTTAAGATGAATAAACGCAAATAAATGTGTTTGCTTCTTATTCCTAATGGTGGTTACAGATGATAGCAAATTCCCTTTCAGAAAGGAGGGCTCTGACACAGATTCACTGGGGAGTAGTGCATTCCATAGTAGATCTCGTTTCTAGGTTGGCTGACTTGGATCTGAAGCAGAATTTGTTGAAAAATATTATCTCGTTGACCACCTAGAGAAATGGAAGGAATCAGGCTTTTCCGTCTTCTCTTTGAAAATCAGACTATCTGGTAACCTTGGGCCGATAGTCCCACAAGGGCAGCAGTTGTTGGGAGATGAATTGCTGCTTAGGACAGGGAGCCCGCTGGCCTCCAGCTCTCTCTGGTCCCCACCCGGCAGCATGCTTATTTGTGCCCTGTAGGTAGTGGAGTTGGTGATTCTGGTCTGGAAGATGCAGTCATCACTCAAAAGCCATCAGGCAAGGAGAGGTGCTGCCGTTAGCAGGAAGGGCCTGCAGCACCCTCACAGTCTGTCCTGCCTTGCAGCTGAACGTATCATCTCTGCCCTGGTTCAGCTCTTATTCGTATCTGAACCACGAAACTACTATAACAATAGTTTTCTAATAATGTAATTTGATCGAGTTACTGAACGTTTTCTCTTAGCCATTCAGTAATTCTTCATCCAATACCATATCTGCTTTTTATTTCCTATTATGCCTGCCCCATTTCTGTGTCTGTGAAAGTTCTATATTGGAGATGCACTCCTCCATTATGAAACTCAGCAACAAATACTATTACCAATTACTATAGTTTTCTTCCCCCCCGTAAAGGAAGGGTTTTAAAATGTCCAGAGCAATTTCATAAACTGTGTGGATTAATGCATTTTAAAAGTCTTGAATTTTAGATTGCAGAATTTTATTTCCATATTGCTGCAAATGAGAGCTTTTTCAGATAAGCATATTACATAGAGCATAATGTTTAGAAGTTTCTCCATATACAGCATATGCTGTCAGGTCAATTAACAGAATGCATACTAGAAAATGTTTATTCAATAAAAATGAATAGCTGTTAAATAAAACAGCTATTTCTTAACAACATTCCATTTAATGATGGGCTTTTCCTTTTTGGTTTTTTATTTTTTCTTTTTCTTTTTTGTTACCACCTGGCAGTTTTATTGTCTGCAAGTCAGTGTAGGGAAGTTTTGATTGCTGTGGTTTCAAGGTATGGCTCTCATTTTATAAGAGGAGAGCAGTTTAAAGGGAGTCTGTGAGAAAGACGTTAAAAAAAGATAAGCTGTATTTGGAATTTGAACAGTTATTTAGAGAATGTGAGTAAATGAAATGTTTACTTCATGTAGCTTCTTGAAAATTTGGTTTAAAGTTTAGGGACTTTTGCTCCAAAAGAGAGAGTGTTCATTCCAAATTAATAATGTACATAAAAGAGAGAAAATGTTAAATGACCAGTGAGGAAGTGAGAGAGGTAGAGAGGACGAGGAGCATCACTTGAAAAATCTTGAAAGGGAATCCCCATTGGGTTGGGTTTTGCCAGTAAGCCATTGAAGGAGGTGTAAAACATTAACCAGTACACAGGACACTGAAGCTTAGAGCAATCGGAGGAGTGCTGGTGGACTCAGGAAGAGTGGAGCGATGTATAGTCCAGGAAGCACAGAAGAGGGAGGTACATAGGAATGTGGGAGATCCTGGGTATCTATCCAGGGAATTACACGCTGCCCTCTGCATCTGGGGGTTTCACATCTGTACATTTAACCAACTGGGGATCTAAAATAGTGGGGGAAGTATGTTTGTACTGAACATGTACAGACTTGTTTTTGTTATTTTTCCTTAAACAACACTATATACCCATTCTTTACATGGATTCACATTGTATGAGGTATTAGAAGTCATCTGGAGCTGATTTGAAGTATTTAGGAGGATGTGTGTAGTTCTTCTGCAGATACTGTACCATGTTATATCAGGAATTGGAGTGTCCACAGATTTGGGTATCCATGGGTTCCTATAACCAGTCTCCCATGGATACCACGGGACGACTGAAAAAGGACCAAAATGTCACTGTGTGTGTCTGTGTGTGTGTGTGTGAGAGAGAGATACTGGGGATTGAACAGAACCTTTGCACTGAACCGCATCTCCAACCCTTTTTGAATTTTTATTTTGATACAAGGTCTCACTAAACTGGTTAGTTGTCCAGATTGGACCCAAACTTGTAATCTTCCTATCTCAGCCTCCTGGACTATTAGGAACATGGGCAAGCTCCAGCACATCTGGCTGGAGTGTCAACATTTTAAGAGAAGGGCGAAGGTTCTTTTTTCTTTTAGCAGAAATAAATACACAAACAGAGGCTTATTTACGGGAAAGATACCATCCCTTTGCTTCATATGCTTA